CTGGGACCAGCCACTCCTGTTCTATCTCCTGGCCTGTGAGCGTGCAGACTAAAGGGCCAGGTGACAACTGATCCTTTGGCAAAACGATCTGAGTCCCCATTTCACAGGGGGGGCGAGAATAAGCTTCCTTGTCCTGGGGAAGGGGTGCTTTATGCACGAATCCACCTTCTCTCTCTCTCTCTCTCTCTCTCTCTCTCTCTCTCTCTCTCTCTCTCACCTGCAAACAAGAGGTGCAGCTTTCTATATTCGTTTCAAGGACGGCTGTCATCTCAATACAACGAGTTATTCACCGCGGATGTTTAAGATCTCTCTTATAAATCTGCAATCCGCTCACAGCCTGATTCCTTAACTGTGCCGGGGGGCGGGGGCTCGGGGGTGTGGGTGTGGCGGGGGAGAGACATGGACTATGAGTTCATGAAGAGGAATAGGTTTGAGGACCACGAATTATTTATTGTTTCCTTTCTTTGTTAGAAAGTGAGCCGATGGAGAGAGACAGAGGGTGAGAGTGGACTAGAAAGTGCCAGAGATTGTGGAGGCAGACGGAGAGATCTAGAAAGAGCGACAGAGAAAAGACAGAAAGGCAGAAAGAAGAGGAACACAAGAGAGAAGAAGAGATGGAGGAGAAAGGGGGAAGATAGCAGAAGACAAAAATAAAAGAAAAAAACAGAAAGAGTGGGAGAGAGGAAAAGGGAGGGAGGGAGGAGAGATAGAAAGATTACTTCCAAAAGTAATCAGAGGAAAAGCAAACTTATTCACAAACACATTTGCATAGATTTTCCTCCCCAAATCCACTAGCTACTGCTTAGTCTTTTCTCCTTCCAGGCTATGAGGTGGATGGATGGATGGATGGATGGATGGTTGGGTGGAGAAGGTCCCCATAGATTCTCAGAACCCTCTCCCTAGAGGCCTGCATCTCCTTCAGTATGGCCACCCGGAGCAAGTGTCCCCCATGACACCCACCCTTCTGAGCCGACATATGGTGGAGGGGGTTGGTTTCCAGGGGCTCCTAGTGGGAGATAATGTAACCACCAGAGCGGGAGAATCGTTGGGGGAACAAAAGATCGTTTCAAACTCTCCGAAGCCCGCCAAAGCTCTAAGGGAGAATGGGGGTGGGGACACTCGCCTTTCTACTCAGGTAGGGGTGCTGAGTGGGTGAGGGGACCCTCCAATCCCTGGCTCCAGAGGGCTCCTAGGGAGAGGGGGAAACTATGGCTTTGGGGTGTGTAAAGAGGTTAATGGGAGGCAAGCTAAGCCTGTTGGTGTGTGTTTGGGGCGTCCTTATGTGAGGGGGCAGTCCTGACTGGGTGGCTTCGAGCTGAGAAGAGACAAGATGCCAAGGAGACAAGTCAACTTCAAATAAAACACAAAAGGCGGGAGTGGGGGTGAGTTGCCCAAGGGGCCAGGGAACTGAGAGATTTGGCTGAAGAACCGGGAGATTTACTGCCGGAGAAGCGCTCGTGGGACCATTGCGTCCTCCCTTGGCCTCCCTCTACAGAGCTTGGCCCCTTTATGCAGTTGTTTAAAGTGAACATTATCCCAAACATATGCAATGCAATCAGCTCGGTCACACTTACAAGAACACGCTTTAATAAGGCAATCAATCAAACGCTAACAGCTCGGTGGAGCCCCGGCCTGTGTGGAGGCAGCCTCTCTCTCAAACTGGATGGAAGCCCAAGAGCAGCACAGGCTGGAGACCCCTGCCCGGGCAGCAGGTGCGGCCCACCAGGCCCAAGGAAAGCACCTTCGTTAGGCGACTCTGAGCTATCGGAAAGGCCCTGAGCTTTGTTGGGAAATGCTGACAGGGACCAGCTTCGGGAGAGCGAGTGGAGGACTGCGGGGATACTCCAATGATTCCTCGGCTCCCCAAACATTTCGAAAGCCCTAGAGCCCCCGGAGGAGGAGGAAGGAAGGCCTGACACTTGTGGAGAGTTTCTCAGTTGTGAAAGAGGCCCCCTGGTCCTGGCCGGTTCGGGGAGAACATGTTAAAAGAGAGAAGGGGGAGTGAGGGAGGAGAGACTGAGCCGGCCCCAGCACAAAACCCCGATGCTTGGCAAAAGGAAAATTTCATTATGAAGTGATGAGTAATTCCCCCTGGCAAGATGTATTGTTATATCTTCCACTTCAATTTGGAGGTAGACTGGCTCAATTACCCAGAAAATACAGTCAATTAAAGGCTGCTGATTGGACACGAGGACGGATCATCGATCTTGTACTTTCCAATATCGCTGCAGACACCTCATTTTCCCTCCCTATTAACTGAAAATACGCCTGGCATCACCACAACCCGCAGCCTATTTACCTGTCGCAAGCAATCTCGGGCGTCCGACCAAAGAACAGAGACATGCGCCACCGGGTTTTTGCAGCCCGATCCTTAGAAGGTGGCCCACCCTGTGGGAGAGCCACAGCTCCTCGCGGGCGATCCTTTGGGTGAAAGGCTGGGTATGTGTGTGGGTGGGGGCGGGGAAAACTAGAGGAAGAAGAGAGGTTGGGGTGCTGGCTTTCGTGAGTTTGCTTCGGGCTTTTTCTCCGCAACAAAAGTGAAGCCAGAAAAGGGGATGGGGAAGTAGGGACATGGTGAACTACAGACCCGAGCTGATTCTGTCTCCCCACCCTGCTTGACCCCTCCTTCTCTCCCTCACTCCCTGAAACTGAACACCCGAAGCAAGCACTCAGGTACCTCAGAGCCCAGCCAACACAAACTCCCTGTTTAGACGACCCAAACTATACTCTGTATTGGGAAGACTGAGCTCAGTTTTCCCCAAGTGAATCTCACCCTGACGGGCAGAGCGCTTTGTCAAGGTTCCCTATTCTGTCCCAGGACGGAACCCTTGACAGAAGCCTGCTCCAAGTGGAATGCGCAGGTGATTTCCCTCCCTCCCCTCAACCTAAAACACTGCAAGACTTCATCACTTCCTCTACTCAAACCCCTCCCCTTCACTCTGGAACTTTTCTCTGCTTCCTCTTCGAGGTTCTTGTGACAAAAACCCTCTGTAAATACTTAAAGTGTTCATATTATAAGATATATAGATATATATCTTTCTATATATTATATATGTATACATATATGTTTACTAAGTGCCTTAATTTGAACTTTCTTCCATTTGCTCCTATTTTCCAGCAAGTTGCTAGCTAGTAAAAAAAAAAACAAACCTGAAAGTGGGGGTGGGTGGAGATAAACAGATAGCACCTCACACAAACCCCAGTTTCTAATTTCTTTCAAACATAAAGTGGGCGGTTTAAACTACGCACCTCTCGCTAGATGCATTTGTTGGAATTCAATAAGGAGAAGTTGAGAAAGATAAGGACTGCTGCTGATCTTTCCACGTACACATTTGACCAGCTCTGCAAAGGGGAGCTTTGTTTTTCTTCACTTAAATAGGAGGCCTACTGTCTATTATTTGGGAAGGAAATAAAACCAAATTGATCTTCCCCACTCCTTCTATCTCACCAAAAGGAAAAAAAGGTCTGGCATCCCTCCTTTGAATAATAGAAGCTCCCAAAGGTGCTATACTGTCATGGTTCTTTTGGCCTTTTTATTGAAATATGGTAACAAATCTGAACAGTGAAACCTTTGGGCTTCCAAGAAAAATAGGGTTGGGTTAGAGGGCAAGAAAATCCCTATTTCACCAAGACCCAAGACACTATTGTCTTCCTTCCCCTGGGCTGCAAAACCCTCTCAAAGAAAAAAAAGAAACAGCTCCACCCACTCAAGAAACAGAGGGTTGCATAGAGAACATTTGAAAGACAAACACAAAGGCAGGTGATGATGATGGGAGTGGGTAAAATATAGAGTCTGGTGGGGCATGAGAAATTTAAAAGCAAAATGGGTAATGGGATGGCAAAGAACAAACCAAGGAGACAAAGTCTACTCTGCTCTAATTTGCATGCTGTGATTGTCCATAGGAGTTCTGCTCTGCCCACTCTCCATCACCTAATCTCTTCCCTTGGCGGCTTGTTAAGTTTGGCTCATGGTCTCTGTTCAGAGCGCATGATGTTGTACACTAGGCATTTAAAAACCTCCCTTACATATACAACCTTGCTAATTTAGACAGGGGGGCCACCCTTCAACCCCTGGTGACCAGACACTTGTTTCAGGGTAAATAACACTCAGCTGCACCTTGACACAAGAAAAGTGCCCCCTCCCTTTCCTTTGAAGATCTTTTTGTGAGACAAACAAAAGGAGGGGACAGAGAGATAGACACAGACAGACAGAAATGAAATGAGAATCAAGTTAGGGTAGGGCAGGGATCTGGGAAGCAGAGTTCTAGGGAAAAGATTAGATCCTGGTCAGTTGGAATATACTGTATTTCTGAGACACAAAGAATGCAGTCAAACCACCAAAAATATATACATGTTGGTAGAATCTTTATGGCAGCAGGACAATTTTTTTCCCTTTCTCTGTTTTTAAAAAGAAATACTTAGTTGTATAGCTATTCAGAATCTCCATTACTAGATTTGGAAAATCTGGCAAAGAGAGCTCTTCACGTTGTTTGTGTGTGTGCACACAACCTTTTGTTAAAGACAGCAATATCCCCTTCCAGTGTTTCAGCTTTGTCAGGTAAAGAAAGGAGAGTAAGTTTTCTTTGTATGTGCCTGTGTGTGCATGTGTATGTGCTAGTGTATGAGTGTGTATATGTGTGTGCTTGTGTGGGTTTTAAAGTTTCTTTTCAGGTGGAGCCTTGATGACATACTCGGGAGGGTCCCCTCCCTGCCAGGCTCTGGCATCTTCTCCAAAGATGGATGGCAGACTGTGCCTTCTACATAGCCATCCAAGCGGCTTCTTTTCCCCAATATTTCACCAACAGGTTTCCTTCATGGTCATGGAAATCCTTTTCAGGCTATTATTTCTAGTCCTCTGTCTCCTTTTTTCCGCAGATGTCCAAGGGAAGATGGAAGGGAATTAAATAAAGGTGGAAAGGTGGGGTGGTGGGAGGGTAAGTCCTAGAGCAAGGGAGTCTGCCCTAAAAATGAGTATTCTGGAAAAACCTGAGATGCACCTTTTATCTTGTAAGGGGGACTTCCTCCCTCTGATCCAGGGACACTGAGGAGGTTTTGCTCAGTACGGAGGGCGTGAAGGTGATGAAAGAGTCCGTCCTGGTTGTGGAGGAGCAGGAAAAGTCTGAGCCGGAAGGTCTCTGTGCCAGGCCATTGGACTGGCTGGCGTGGCAAGCCAGGCATGAGCATGGACTGCCCCCTGACCCCCCAAGTCCATGCGTTGTTGGGGCTGGATAGAGAGATGGATGTCTAAAAGCACAGAGGAGTTCAGGTCTAGGGTAAGGATGGGACAGGACCCGGAAGGTATCCAGGGGTCTCAGGGGAGTACTGAAGGGGGCGGCAGCAGAGGCTGAAGTGGCTCCAAGGCCCATGTGTGAGTAGTAAGGAAGGGGCAGGTGGGAGGGGAACGGGTAGGGCAGGTTCCCCGTGGCCGCAGCGTGGCTCATCATGTAAGTATAAAAAGCAGGGTCGGCTGGGTGAGGCCAGGTCATGGCTAATCGTTGCCTCTTGTCCTTCATCCTGCGGTTCTGGAACCACACCTGGCAGAGACGAAGGAAACAGAGGAACCTCTGAATGTTTACCAGATCTCCCTGATCCCCCCATTTCTGCCCTGGCACCTGGCGCTAATTGGCTTCTGGACCCATTTCCCTGGTCCAGGATGGCACCAGAGGCTTTTCCCTCTTTGGTTAAAAGCAGGGTTGAGTTTGGACTCTGGTGGATATGATTGTGGGGAAAGCGAGCTGGGAGCCCCCAAAACTGTCCCTGAACACTTCCCCAGTAAGAGACTATATTCAGGGAGCTGAGGCTTTGTATACTGTTTCAAAGTGTTTTGTCCTTTGTATCTATCTCGACCTCACTGAGAACCAAATGTTGGCCTTCACTCAACTTGGTGGAATTCATATCTTGGAGAGGGGTATTGAAGAGGAAGCTGGAAAGAGGAATTGTTTCACAGGAAATACTAAGAATAACCATCAGCATTAGTGGTTAACGTTGTTGCAGTGGGCACAGGAACCGAGTCTGTGGTTCAGTGGAAGACCTAGTGTTATCTGGGAGTGGGGGGTGGTGGGGTGAGAGAAGCCCATAGGAGGCCTACCTCCTTCTTTGGGCCTCCCTGACTCTCTCTCTCTCTACAGCCCGGATCTCAGCCTCAGAGCCTGCTTCACTTCTCTGCCTCTTAGTTCCTAGGTCTGACCTCGGGCTCATTACTCCCCACCCCCACCCCAGTCAGCGGCTCCAGCAAGAGTTGGGACACAACAAGGGAGCAAAGAGAGCTGGCTTTCCAGCTCTCTCTCTGCCAGGGAAACTGGCCGGCGGGCCAACGGAAAGCGGATTGTGGGGGATCGCGGTACTTACCTTGATGGTGGTCTCCGGCAGGTTTAAGGCAGCCGCCAGCTCGCACCTCCGGGGCCGCGACACGTAGTTCTCCCGATAGAATTCCTTCTCCAGACGGGCGATCTGCTCCCTCGTGAAGGCGGTGCGGTAGCGGCGCATCTGATCGCTGGCGCTGCAGGCCAGGGAGCCCTGGGAACCACCGCCCCCGCCGCCTCCACCGCCGCCTCCCGGGCCTCCCCCGCCGCCGCTCTTGGGGGGCTCCCCTCCGCTGCTGGGACTGCCAGCCAGAGCCTCGGAGCATGGCGCTGCACAAGGAAGCCCAAAGAAGACACACTGCCTACTCGAGATGGCACAGGGGCCTGGAAGTGGGGACGGGGTGGGGGGGGGAGGCGGGACTAGGGCTGGATGTAGGGTTGGGAAACACAAGGTGACAGGAATGGGTCCCCCAACACCCGACTCCCCCCAGCTATAGCCAGCGTTGCTGTCTGCAGGTAAAGGAGTGCTTGTCTGAAGACAGCTCCTCTCCCTTCCCCACCCCATCCCCATCCCACCGGGGGAAGGAAGGGACAGAGAGGGAAGGACGAGGGACAGGCTCTTAGTATACGGGTTTCGGGGACCAAAGGACTGCGGAGGGTAATCGGCCTGAGCTGGTCATTTAGCATTTACTCCTTCCAAGGACTAGGTCTGGGGGAGTCGGGGTTAACCATTGTCTCTGCAGGATGGGAAGAGAAATGGGGTTGGTGTTACCCCTCTGAACTAGCCTTTCATTCTGTCAGAGGGCGTCATGAAGCGTGTGTGTGCTTGCTTGTTTGTATGTGTGAGGGGGGCTTCAAACAGGCACACGAATACCACTTGTGTAAGAAGTCTGCAGTCGGATCTGCTCTGAGTAGGTGTATGAGGAGAGTATGCGGGTGTTGAGTGACCTGGCTGAAAATGTGACTGGGCCTGCGGGCTGCGTTGGTGTACCTCCTTCCCCCGCATCTCTGTCCTTCCTCCCCCACCCCCCGTCTCCCCTCCCCCACTAACCCCTCGAGCTCGCTAAAGCCCTGCACCAAAGGCCCTCAAACTCCACGGCCTAAGCAGAGTGTAAAGGGACTGTAGCAACCAGGCTGGACAGGGACCTTGGGACTCTCCCCTCTCTCCGCAAGGGAGGCCATCTCTTTTCTGGACTCTTTCCTAGCCTCTGCTGAGCCTGTTTTCAGGAGTCCTTGGGATAAGAGAGGGATGAAGGTGGATCCCACACTAGCCTAGAGCCTGGTGACTCCTCTCTCAACTTCGGACAGTGCAGAAAGAAAAACGGTGGGGTTTTCTTATCCACAGGACCACCACCCTCCCCGGCTCCTTGTTCTTTGGGGTGGTATTTGAAGAGAGACTGAGAAGTGCAGGAAAGGGGATGGGGCTTTGAGTGGGGGTGGTGGAGTAGAAGCAGAGGAACTGGGGGATGGGAAGGTGGGGAGGCCGGCTCCCGGCCTTCGCTTTTCAAATGTAACTTGCCCTCTTTGTATCCGAGACCAAAGGCAATTAGCTCATTGGGACCATTTCCGAACTGGCGCCGCCGAGCCCTGGAAGTGACAAGGTAATTCGGCCTTCGAGCCGAGGTGCAAAAAGGCCGGGCGGCGGCTCCTCGGGCGGCCTGCAGCCTTTGGACCATTCTTTAGGCAGCGTTTCCGCACTCATTCCGTTCTGGCGTGCAGTCTGCCTCCATAGTTGCTATGCCTGCCACCTACAAACCCTGCCGCCCAGCCGCCACACCAAGCGTTTGAGGCCTTATAAGCTGGTATCTTGGCGTGGTCCAACCTTCTCACGGAACACTAGGGCACTGAAGGGAGTGACGGTCTCCCAGACTACCTCCCTGAGGCTTCAGAGGGACTGTCCAGCACTAGGGCTAACACACGGACCGTTTCCCAGCCCAAGGCCTAGGCCTGGGGCTTTCTCCCCTGTGAATCAGTACCCCACACTCAGGTAGACTCAGCCTGATCCCTGCGGGATGCCCGAGGACAGGCAAGTGAGCACCCTCCCCCAAGTTGTGGGACTAGGAGGAGGGCACGGGGCAGAGGAATCAGGTAACCAGCCAGGACCTCCTCGCTGCCTCTGTGGCTTCACCTGGAATTAGGCCGAGGAAATCACCTCTCTCTCAATCCCTCTATCCCTTCAGGACACCTCAGGGCAAGAGGCGACAGAAGCTGCAGGGGAGGGCGGGGGGGGAGGGCATCGGGGCTCCGGGGACTGGGAGAGGGGGGAGGCCGGAGAGCGGGCTGGGGCAAAGCTTGGTGTACCTTTCCTGTGCTGGTACTCGGCGCTTCCTGCGGTGCAGTCTGGGGTGCAGCTCACCTCGATTTCTTCATAGAAATCCGACTCCGTATCCGAGCTGCTCTGCTGGCCTTTGGCCGAGGGGGAGTCGGAGGAGGGCGGCGGGGCCACCCCCGCCGGCCCCGCTGGGCGGCTCTCCGCCCCCGCCCCCGCCGCTGTCCGTGGCAATCTTTCCACTTCATCCTCCTTGCCGCCTCCGCCCTTCTCCCTGGACGCCAAGGGGCCCGAGCGGGGACTCAAGCAATTCCGGTGGATCACGTTTTCTGGGGGTTCGGGGCCAGGGCTCCCCACTGCTTCTGACAAATTAGCTCCCCTCTTGCCAACGAGCGTGCCAAGCTGCCCTCCTTCCAGAAACATCACCATGTCCTTCCTGCTCTCCATCCCGGGGCGCTTTTCAGAAAGAAAGGGATGGGGGCTCCGACCCTCCAGCAAGCTCCCACCTGGCAGCTGCCCAGGTTCAAGAAGCTCGTAGCCCTTGGCCTCCGAGTTCGACGGAAGAGAAAGACCGAGGGGAGAAGAGGGAGGGCGGCGGGGCTGGGCCGCGCCGCCGGAGAGGAGCGGAGCACAGCGGTTTGGAGAGGAGCGCACAGAGTAGCAGGGAGACAGGTCACCTTGCGATGCTCGCGCTCCGCTGGGCTGCGCTGGCTCTGGGAGGGATCACCATTGCCTTCTTCTTTCTAGCCTGTCATCCTTAATGGTGCCGGCGTCATTACGGGACCGCTGGTGACGCCACTCATTGATTGCAAGTGGATAAATAGAGACGTCTGCCACGCCGAAGATGAAAGGAGGCCCGAAGCTAATGGCTAGGCGGTGATGCACCAGGTGTGGTGTGGACAGACTCGAATGGGGAGGAGAGTGTGAGAACAGAGAGGGGAAAGCAGGGGGATGAGGGGGGGGGATGCAAATGGGACTCGGTGGAAACGCAGCCTCTGCGGCCTTGCGGGAGGAAGGGGCGCCGAGGGAGCGGCGCTTCCCAATTGGGGGGCCGCCTTCTGATGTTTTTGTTTTGGTAAACCGAGACCTTGATCTAGCCTTGCTGAGTCGGGGGGGGGGGGGCGTCCATAAGTGCATTTAGAAGTGTGAAGACAGCGTCTCCAACCTCAGATTTCGTTTGAATTCTTTAGCTTGTTGCCACCGACTCGCGAACCTCACTGGAGGCTTGAAAGAATCTATTTACAATCTTTAAAGAAGGGGAGAGACAAACAGAGAGAGAGAGGGAGAGAGAGAGAGATCTGAATTTTTCTGGGATGTCAAAAGAGACCTGGATGGGGATAGTGGCTTTTAGGGGCTTTTTCTATCATTCCTTGTTCCTCCGCCCATTTCTCCGGCTTTGCCTGCCACCTTACCCTGAGTCAGACTCCCCTCCTTTGGTTTTCTTTCTCACAGGTCAACAGAGACTTGGAGTTTCTGTCTGGAGGCTCTGCTTTTGTGTTGTCTTTCAGACCAGCGCCCAGAGGGCCTCCTGACAGTAACCCCCTATTCCTTTCGTCTTCCTCTCCTAGGTGGCCTAAGGCTCCAGACAGGTTCGGCGCTGAGCTCCCGCGCTTCTTCCTGAAGTTCAGGTATCTGTGTGTGAGGGGTGGAGGGTGGAATTGATATTTGCTTCTTGAGCTCTTCCTGGGGGGAGGGAAACTAACTTTCCTTGAAAAACAGACCAAAGGGTCAGTTTACTTCTGGGTGTGGGAATGGAAGGGAGGGGGGAAATCTTTTCCCCCAGAGAACTGGTGATTGCCAGCGCTCTACAAAAAACTACTCAATACTTGACACTAAACGAGAAAGGGAGAACTACAAGCCCAGTCGCGCTGCCCGGGCTGGGTAGGGGCGAGGGAGGGCGGAGGGAGCTATCAGCAAATGGTAAAAGTCCTGTGGACTCTAAGAGCGTTATCCTCGCAGCGTTGATTTGCATGGTTAGGCCTCCAAGTACGTTTTCCTTCTGTTTCCAAGAGGGTCACTTTAGGGTCGGAGCTCTCCCTTGCGCACGCACACGCACACGCACACGCACGCGCCCCAGCCCAGCCGCCTCTCTTCGGGGAATTCCTGATCTCTGCGGATCTGGAGGCTATAGGCTGGACAGAGCTAGGATGAGGAAGCAGGAGCCAAAAACGCCCCCTCCCCCCAGAAGTGAATGAGCGCTGAAGCTCAGCTAGAAAAGGCGAAACTAGGCTGCGGACTGTGCACCCCCGCTTGATATGGGGGGAAGGTATGCCACAGCTGAGTTTCTTTGTATTCCCAGCGACTAGTATATAGTAGGCACTTAATAATTGCTCCCTGATCGATAGATTGAACACTCCTAAAAAACCAATCTGGCCTTTCTTGCACCTTACTCCTAGTTACTTCTGGGATCAGGAAAGCAAGAGACTCCATTTTTTTTTTGAACGGAAAGTCACAGGCATACAACAAGACACGGATTCTGTCTCTGTGTCTGTTTGTCTGTGTCTCTGTTTTTCTGTCTGCCTTTTCCCCTCTGTCTCTGTGGTTCTCTCTCTGTCTCTATTCAGAGCTGCAGGGGCCCCCAGGCTCCTAGGAACTCCCTCCATCCCTGCTTTGCCAGAAGGCACAGGCGTAAGCGTTCTTCCTCTGCCCCATGTTCGAAGTCGCAGCCTCTTTCTCTATCCCGAGAAGGCCTGGGGTGGGTTTTTTTTTTTTTTAACGAGGAAGTAGGAATGTCAGGGTTGGGAGATTTGGGATTCGGCAAGGAAGAGGACGTTCAGGAAGTCGGCTAAGAGGAGTCTAATGGAGAAAATTGAGAAATCTGTAGGCAGCCCTTCCTCTCCCCCCTGGTTTGATGAGAGCGGCCAGAGGCATAGCTCTAGGCCCACTGTGGAAGCCGCCGGGAGTGGGGCTGGGGCTGGGGCTGGGGGGCGGGTTGGAGGGGGAATCCAAAACTGTAAGCCGCGTGCTTGTGAGTGTAGACTGCTTGAGAATGCAGAATTCTAAGCTTCCTGATCCCTTTACCAGTGTCTGCAAGGAGCCAGCTATGGCTTTCTCTTTTCCTCCCCTCTCAAAATCAAAGCCCTCGGGAGCTTATCTCCCTGGGCTACAGGCATGACCAAGGCCACTCCAACGATGGGGCCTGGACTTTCTAAACCAATTCTTCGCTACTTTTATCACCTCCTTTCTCCCCCAGTCCCCACTCCCAGCTACTTTCACTGCGCTTCCGATCCTTCCTGGTAGGGTCCAACCATGAACAAATCCGTCTCTATCCAAGCCACTTGGGACACGTTCCTTTGAAAACTCCACCTCCCTTGCACTATCCCCCTCCTTTAAAACGATTAACTGGGATTTCATTTCCTTTTGATATTTCTTCCCCTCTGATATTTTCTAGAAGATGAAGAGATGGGGGGCGTGGTCATCTCGAGGTTATAGTTACCCACTTAGGTACTGTGTTTCATAAAATGCACAACACAGGTGTGTCCTTCCACTCAGAGATTTTTCCCATCAGTCCAGCAAATGGAATAATGGATGCAAAAGAGCTTTGTAAACCTTAAAGGGCTATAGCAATGTGAATTATAATTATTTTGTTGTTGTTACTATCATTATTATTATCCCTCGGAAATACCCCAAGAGATGGAAAAAGTCCTTTTGCAAACAGGTATAGCCGGAGAGCCTATAGTGAGCCTTTTTAGTGAGCCTAAAAAAACTGAGGTCAGGTGTCAGAAAACTGCGATTCCTTTTCTCCAGAATGGAAGAGTCAACCACCACGGCCCGGGAGCTGTCCTCTTTTCTCCTCTCCTGTTCTCCGCAGCTACTAATGGATTCCATTTCTATCCCAGTATGAGAGGTTTTTGCTCTACCAGGCTTGCTGACTGGGGTAATTTGGACTACTACCAAATTGGGGAAGGGGGGAGGGCAGTGTGAGAACACATTGAGTTGAGAAAAACTGAACAGTTGAAGCGAGTGTTGGGTTCTCTCTTTAAAATTTTATTTCCCAGAGTAGCCCTTAAGGAACTGAAGAAATACAGATAAGGGGAAAAAAAATTGTTAGAGAGAAAGGGAAAGAGGGAAGGAAGGAAGGAAGGAAGGAAAGAAAGAAGGAAGGAAGGAAGGAAAAACGTCAGGTAAAATAGGATTAAAAGAAAACGAGAAGAGAGGACAGGAGAAAGAGAAAGGAAGAAAGAAAGAGAAAGGGGGAGGAAAGAAAGAAAAAGGAGGGAGAGGAGAGGAACGGCCTTTTTTCCTGTTCTTAGAATTCTGGCATTTTTGTTACGATTTCATTACGGTTCTTTTGACGACCTTGTTGGAATCTGGAGGGAGGTCCAGAGAAGCCCCAGCTCCCTGCTCACTCTCTGGGCCCAGCTAGCCCAAGAAGGAGCCAGAGCGAACCACAGAAGCCCGGCTCTCGGAGAGGGCATTCAGAGGAGGCTCGAGGAGCCCAAGAAGGTAAAAGCGGCTCCCGGAATTCTCTGGGTCTGCAGAGGCCGGGAGTGCAGCCCCTCTTCTGGCATTCTCGGCTCTCGGCCGAGGCGGGCTGACTACCTCTGAAGATCACGCGAGCCTGAGCTCTCGGATTTCAATTCTCTGTAGTTCAAAAGCTTCCGGACTTGTTTCCTGCAGTTAAGAGCATAGGGGCGGGGCGGCGGGGAGGCTTGGGAAGGATATTGCCCCGGGGCTGTCGAGGTGGGAAGATAAGATGCATTTGTTATTTAAAATGGAACCCGGAGTCCGGCCACTCCTGCCGCCCCCGCCCCCTCACCTCGCATCTAGGAATTTCAGATCTCCACCAGCATCTGGCAGTCTTTTCGTTACTTGCTGAGGAAGAGGTGGAGAAATGGGAGCGAAGCACCAAAGTTATGTTTTCTTTTTTATCTTTGTCTTTTGTTTCTTTCACCACAGTAATTTCTGAAACGCCCCTCCTTCTCCTCCAGAGTATAACTAAGAACCACCGTAACAAATTAGAGTTAATCAAAGAGGAACACAAACGTCCTACAAAGTATGCGATGTTCTGCCCGAGCAGTCCCCCACCTCCCTGGCGAGAGGGTAGGAAGTGTGCTCCAAGATTCGTCCGGGAGCATCCTAAATTTTTTATTGTTGGGAAGGAGGTAAAATGACTTTATACCTTTTGTCTTTACAGCAGTGGTTCCCGCCTACCCCCCCTCCCCCGACTGAATCCCTTTTCACACACACACACACACACACACACACACACACACACACACATGCACACTACAGAAACCCCACATGACAATGTATACACTATTCTGGTCTGGTAGTACCCCACCTCTTCCACGAAGGAGGACGTACGTTCCAGTAAGTCTTCCCCAAAACTTCATTGATTTCCTCCACCACCGTCCCGCTCCCCCTACTTTTACTCAGAATTCAGTTTCCTCCTAATAACAATCGGCTTTGGCTTGTCAGTTATCCGGGGACCCAGCGTCCTTACT